ACATAAATAAACATATAAATATGATACAGACACACATGCATTTAATTACATACAGATACGCATGTATTTAACATACATATATGTTTACATACATATATGTTTATAACAGTGCGTGCATTATAATCAAATGCAAAATACATTTTATTTTATAATAACATTTATTTGAGGATAAACCATGTAAATTTGATATAATATATATTATATAAAAGTAAACTTATTTGTTTACACTTGTTTTGATTGGATACCATTTTTCATTTTTCTTAATTTAATAGAAAATTCCTCTGATAGCGGTTTTAAAAAATAGGTAGAGCAGATTTTGGCGTTAACAAAATGCTTTCCGGTCGTTAACTAAACGCAGACAGAATATAAGTTTATCTTATCGCTGGAATTAAAAACTGCCATTTAACTTTTAACCAGCTGATAGCTTATCGCAGGGTTAAACGAAGGGATGTGAATATGGCTGTAGGATACCAGACTTACATAAGGAACCAGCATATCAGACTTATGTAAGCGACCAGTATATCAGACTTATGTAAGGGACCAAAATATCAGACTTGTATGATGAGATTATTTGTTAACATATCAATACTATAATCTATTGATTAAAATGCCAAAAAGTAAGTAAATCCATAATTTTACAAAAAATGCATGATAAATGGAATTTTGTAATTTCATGAACTCCATTAGGAAAAAAAATCAAAAAATATTTTTTCCAAGAAAAGGCAAAGACTATAAACAAGAAAACTAATGAAAAAATCCCTGTTTTATAATTCAGTTATTTGTTATTAGACAAATGACATTTGTTATTAAACAAATGTTTTTATATATATAACCATTTATACATATAACTTATCTCTATGACTATTTTTATGCATTAATAAAAATTAATGCAAAAAATAATCATAGAGATAAAAAATAATCATAGAGATAATGTTTGTTAGAACAAAATTAGTTGATGCTAATTTTGCAATTGATTTGATGGTTTCAAAAAAAGATCTGAAGTTAGAATTAAGTCAAGTCACGTACATTACCATTTATAAATATAGGAAGATCTAAATTATTGTGATAACAAATAGCTAAAAAAAATTGAGTTTTATCTGAGTTAAAGTTCATCAGCCACTGGGAACCCCATGCTGTAGCCAAAGTGAGATCTTTTTCAAGCTCAAACACCCCCTCCAAGCAATCATAATGTTAGCTTTTTGTTAAGACAAGAATAAATGGTTGTATCATTAGCAAACAATTCCACCTTAGATGTGAGAATTTCTAAGAGATTGTTAATGTAAATTAAAAAAGTATAGGGCCAAGGATAAAACATTGAGGAGCCTCTCAAGTTACAGTATATGAAGAAGAGTGCTGTCTATCAAGGACAACTTTTATACTACGATTTGTAGGAAGGATTTAATAAAAAGATGTTACCTGACAAGACCATAAGAAGAGAGCTTATGGAGGAGACCAGCATGCCAAACTTTATTAAAAGCTTCAGAAATGTCAAGAGTGATAGACTTAGCCTTGCCACATCTATCTAATGCACAATAAAACCTATCAATTATTACAATTAACAAATCAGCAGTAGAACGAAAAGATCGAAATCCATTAGACTCAAGATGAGAGATTAAGTGTTTGTTAATTAAAAACTCAAAAACATTGCTTATGATAGGAAGAAGACTAATGGGACCGTAGTTAGACGAGTCAGATCGCTCTCCAGAGTTTTTGAAAATAGGGATAACAGATGCTGCTATCCAGCAGGCTGGAAAACAAGACTCTGATAGGCATTTGTAAATAGTTTTGAAAGTATAGACAACAGCTACAGAGAACACTTTTGAAAGACTATAACAGGTATGTTGTCTGGAACACAAGCTGTAGAAGAATCTAAGCAGGAAATCACTTTAGATACATAAGTTAAAGTGATCCGAAGGTGATAACATGACTAGTGAATAACATGACTAGTGAAGTCAAGAGATGATATTGATGAGAAGTTTTTGACAAACAATTGAGCTTTGTCTTTAGGTGAGGTGACAAAATGATGATTGGAAATTGCAACAGAATAATGAGAGAAAAACCATAAAGAGTGAGGCTTGACTTGGAATCGTCAAGAGGGAATAAAAGGTTCCATGCCAGCCTGTATCCAAGAAATTACATAAGAAGCACATTTTTTTAGCAGGAAGATAAAAGATTTCTACCCAAGGGCCACCACAAAGAAAAACACGGAATAAGCCCCAGTCAGCTTTAAGATAGTTGTAAGAGATACAATGATAAAGGGATTCTGATGATGAAGAAGAATAAGATAATAGTTTTAGAAATATTAGGTGCTTCTGAATACCTAAGGGTGAATGTAGAAAAAAATGAGCTCTGTCTAGAATCAGAAGCATGACATAAGTTAAGTAGAGAAGGTTAATGATTAGGATTGTCTGGAAAGTGAGTTGAATAAATGACTATTTGTGTTAAAGATTGTGAAGGCAAAAGTTGTGGGCCTAAATATCTGCAGACTCACTGATACTAGAGCCAAGCCATTCAGTGTGATGAGCATTAAAGTCATCAACAACAATGATATTGGTTGAAGGATAAAGAGAAAGGGCATGGTCAATTTGATCAGAAATAACATCAAAAAGATGAATAAGGAGAATAAGGAGAGCGATATAGAACAAAGAGAATGTGGATTCAAACCGACATTTAGGTGAATTCTTACGAATGTAAATGCCCAGGCCAAGTATGTGACTATCGAAGTCTTTATGAATTAAAGGAAGATAACCATCAACACTAAGATGAGACTAACCATCAAAACTGAGTTTTAGAGATGTACCCTCATTAGGAGATAATAGAATGAGTTGCCTAATCATAAAAACAGAGACAAAAGCAAAATCCATGCATTGAGTCAAGAGCCCAGCATTCAACATCCTAAACTGGAAACAATGTATTATAAATACATCTACGCCAGCCTAATAGATGAAGAAGGGGTGCAGGGCTAGTCAACAGATAAATTCTGTTTACCTCTTAAGTCTTTGCCTAGGAGGCCTTTAACAAGACAGTAGGCAGATATGTTTAAGATCTGCCCAAGATGAGTTAAACATATGCCCAAGATGAGTACTCATTATATTTTGCTTCTCTGAGTGATTATGTGTGCAATTCTCCCATACGAAAACATCTTTGAACAAAAAGTTTAATCGAATACATATTGTATCATCAACAATGTCAGATTCAACAATAAATAACTAAAATGCACTCAGACATATATAACAATCAGGGTTGAGATAACAATCAGGGTTGGGTCAAATACATATTTGTATTTAAATTTGTATTTGTATTTGGTAAAAATGGGCTAATTTGGCATAATTTTATTTTTTATTAAATTTGATAAAATATTTTTTGACTTTTTGTCAAGACAAAATATAAAGTTGTCAGCAAATAGAGCAATTTTAGAAGCAAAATTTTATTAAAGATTGTTATTTTAGATAAAAAACAATACAGAAGCAAAGATAGAACCTTGCGGTACCCTTAAAGTTACTTGAAATGAAGAAGAGTGTAGGCTTTCAAAAATAACTTTAACACCACAGTTAGAAAGAGGACTTGATAATCTCAAAATCTTTTTATAAAAAAACTAATAACAGAGTAAAAACTAATTATAGGATAGTTGGATAGGTCCTATAGAGGTTTTTACTAAGAGTGTTTTCTAGAGTTTTTAAAATTGAAACCTTTTATTTAGCACTTTTTAAAGACTATGATGGAAATCTTATCTAAAGCACAAACTGTAGAAGTGTTCTGGCTTCCAAAACTAATTGAGAATTAGCTTTAGCATTGGAAGCCAGAGTGATTTGGATATTTATTTATGTTAGAACCTAACTTCTCAAATAAGATACAAGATTAAGTAAACTGAAAATAACAGAGCTTAACATTGGACAGAACCTTTTTACATTGGCTTCTTGCAATAATAAAAGGACATTTGTTCTTAAAAGAGATGTTATCGTAAAAAATATGAAAAAAAATGATTATGGTTTAATAAAGCAACTGTTCAAGATATTGAAAAATGTGGAGTAAAATGAGGCTTGACTTAAACTTAAATTGACTTTAATTTAATTTGACTTTGAATTTAAGAGAAGGAATAAAAGCTTCCAAGATGAGCATTTATGCATACATAATATGGATATAAACATATATGTTTGCTACTTATTTAGATGCTGGCATTCAATATCCTTTTATATTTATGTAAACTTTAGTATTTGTATGGTGTAGTATTTGCCAAAAAATGCTCTAGATTGTTTATATAAGAGAAACAGCATAAAAGAGGAAGGCCAAAGCCTGATGATGATGATGACGATGATGATGATGATGATGATGATGATGATGATGATGATGATGATGATGATGATGATGATGATGATGATTAAAAAAAAGAGAGTGAAGAAAAGTAAAAGAAAGAAATAAAAAAGCAAAAAATTAAAACCAAATCAAACAAATCAACAAAAGTATATAAAAAGGTTTTGAAAATGGAAAATAATAAAAAGAATTAAAATAAAATATAAAAACTGCTCTGTTTTTGAAGAAACGAAAAAGAATAATTTTTAAGTTTTATTAATTTTGAGAATCATAATACCCAGCAAACACGATATGTGTTTGCTGGATATTATGATATGATTTTCTTTTTTATTTGAATATTTTTACTTATTTTGAAAACTCTTTACTTTTTCATGACTAAACTTTTGTTGACTATTGATATTAGGATTATTATATTTGTTAAATTATTACTAATTTTTTGCAGCAGTTGTTTCAGTTACATGGTAGGTTGCTACGTTTTGTCAGTATATAATTGTTTTTAACTTTCCTGTCTGTGCATAAATATATATAACTGTTTGTAACTTTCCTGTAGATTGCATACACAGTATTTAATCTACTAAAAAGTCTACCAAAATTAATCTACCAAAATCAATCTATTAGTAACCTACCAAAACAATCTACAACTTGTATTAATTAAAGTAATTAAATAAGGAAATTCTACAATATAGCACCTGGTCAAAGGGATTAATTTCTTCAAATAGTTGTGAATCCACTGCATCTGCTGTTCTCATGAAACGTGTCGGTGTAGGTGTTTGATCTTTAAAAAAATTATTTAAAGTTTGATACAATATATTGATTTAAAAAGAAAATTGTAAATTTTTTAAACACCCCCCCCTAACTCCCATTCTCACACCCCCCCCTAACTCCCATTCTCATTCCCCCCCTAACTCCCATTCTGCAGCTTAGAGAAGAGATTTAATTAAATTAATAAAATTTCACCAATTTTTTTCACCAATTTTTTCCCTTTTTTTTTATCCACTTCATGCAAGAATAACAACCACAAGTTTTTACTTTATAGAAATTCAATAACACATAAGAAAACAAATATTTAATAAGTAAAAACCTCTATAGGACTTATAATAAATTAATTTATACAAAAATAAACTTTAAACAAAATAGATTCAACTTCTTAATTAAAAACAGATGGCTTTGTATTTCTACATAGACTAAAGCATTTAACAAATAGAGATATAAGATAACTATTTTTAAATATGTGATAAAAATATCACAACTATAATTTTATGATATTATAACTAGTCATTAAAAAAGAAAAAAAATTAAAAAAAAAAAATCTCTGTAATAAAAGCAAAGTAATTTGCAATAACTGTTACTATTATCAATACGCTATTATTGTTTGGACTTTATTATGAAAGTAACAAAACAGCTTGATAAATGACTAATAAAAATTTATGTTGCAAAAATATATTTCTTTTAATAAATTTCTATTTATAACTAATTTTATGAATAATTCTAAATGAATTTTCTGTATAAAATAAATTTAAAATATTTTATAAAGGTCATTATTGCACATTATAAAGGTGATCATTAGCACAGCAACAATATTAGTACATGGCAATTAGCATTGGTACAGTTCTGCTCTAAAATCTTGTTATATGCATTAAACATAAAGTTTTTAAGTTACAAACTTAACAGAGATTTATATTAAACATTCATTTGTTTATTAGTTTAAATATTACTTTTTGTCAGTCTATTAATTCTGATTTTTTTAATTTGAAGATAAGTTGAGTTGATTTAGGCGGTTTATGGGCCTTTGTTGATTTTCTCCAGGCAGATATCTATTCTATTATGAATCTTTGTAAATAAATATCACAAATTATGTAACAGTTATATACCTAAAAAAGTTCATAAACATAGTTTTAAAACCATGGATTGACAAAAAAATGAAGATTGAAATGAGACATAAAACAACCTTATGGAACAAATTAATATCAAGTGACCTATTTTGATTCAATAATATAAAACACAAAGTAAACTGGTTAAAAACATGGTGAGGTTAAAACGTATTGAATACAAAAAAAGGATAAGTGAAATATCAAAAAAAGATCCCAAATTATTTTACAGTTATGTTAACTCTTACAAAAAAATTAAAGGAGGAATAGTTTCAATGTATGATGAATATAATAACACTGTAAAAGAACCTATATCAAATATTTTAAACAATTGTTTCACATCAGTTTTTGCTAATGAAGATAAACATAACATACCAAATATAGTGCGCAGGACTGAAACTATTCTAGAGGTAGATATAAACAATATAATAACTTGCCATACTATTAAAAATAAATTTAAAAAATAAGATGTTTACAAAGCTGTTGAATTAGATGGGATAAGCCCATATGTGTTAAGTAAATGTCATAGTACTCTCTGTAAATCATTAACTTTAATATATATAAAATTGTTGACTGAGAACAATTACCTGAACTCTGGAGATCAGCAAATAAAATCCCGATTTTTAAAAAAAGTAATACAAACAATGCATCAAATTACAGGCCAATCTCATTGACCTCTATCCCATGTAAAGTTTTGGAATCAATCATTCAAGATAAAATTATAGATTATCTAACAAAAAACAGCTTATTAAATGAAAATCAGCATGGTTTCAGAAAAAATAAAAACTACGCAACAAACTTGTTGGAAACTCTTGATATCATAACAGATGCACTAGAAAATGGCCACACAGTTGACATGTTATATCTAGACTTTGAAAAGGCTTTTGATAAAGTACCACATTCTCGTTTGATCACTAAACTTAAATCATATGGTATTGTGAGAAATCTAAGATGGATAGAAAAACTTTTAACTAACAGAAAACAGAGGGTGATCCTCAGTGACACTGTCTCAGATTGGCTACCAGTTATCAGTGGTGTACCACAGGGATCAGTTTAAGGATCACTACTGCTTTTGATTTTCATTAATGATTTGCCAGATCAAGACAAAAACCCTATCAAACTTTATGCTGATGATAGTAAAATAATAAACATAAATAATCTGAATGATTCAATAAGCCTTCAAAGTGATATAAATAATATAATGGCATGGTCATCTATCTGGCTCACGAAATTTAATTACAAAAAATGCAAAATTATGCATCGGGAAAAAAAATCTAAATACTACATTTATAATGACTGATATTGATTGCAATTACAATTATACATTATGTAACACAGAAGCTGAACGTGATTTAGGCTTAGTCGATCTAAAATGGCATTTATAAGTTGATTCAGTAACTAGCAAATCCAACAGAATGTTAGATAAGATAAAGAGACCATTTAAATATTTAGATTCAAACATAGTATAAAAGCTCTATACAACATTCATACGTCCACATCTTGAGTTTGCGGTACAAGCATGGTCTCCATTCCTACAACAAGACAGATAAAATTGAGATGATTCAAAAAAGAGCAACCAAACTAGCACCTACAATTAAAAAAATATCTTATAAAGCTAGGTTAAATATTATGGAATTAATGACTATAGAAGAATTTAGAACACATGGAGATCTTATCAAACATTTTAAAATTCAACATGATAAAATAAATTGAGTTAAAAACAATTATCAAAACACATCAAATGAAGGTTCGTATTTACGACAACACAAATTCAAAATGAAAAAACTTTTTTGCAAAAACACCTTCAGATATCACTTTTTCCAAAATTGAGTTGTAAATGCATGGAATAACTTACCATCTGAAATAGTAGGTTGCTTCAATAAATAACTTCAAAAATAAACTAGACAAATCTAAATTTTGCAGAAACTTTTTGTTAAAACAAAAACAAAAAACAAACTGAGCTGTTACAGTGCAATATGTACCATTATTGCACTTCACAACTGTTAACACCAGTTGTTACAGTTATACCTTGTTATTATTATGTTATTATTATATAAAAGAAAAGTTTAAGAGTTGCTGGAAGTTCTATTTTATAAATGTAGACTTAAAATTGGAGCTAGAATTTAAACAATGATCAGTATTGTCAAAACACAATTCTGGGTGCCATATTTTTTTAGAGTTATGCACTCAAAAAGAAACTCTTAAAGAAAATTTTAAAGCAAACTTTGAGACTATCTATGTACAACTTACGATGAACTTAAAAAGACTTACTTAATTGTGGTAAAAAAAACGTAGTTTATAATTTAAACTGCTTTAGTCAATCAAAAAATGGAGTTCAACATACCTGAACCTGGCTGAAACAAAACTGAAGGTATTTTTACATGAAGCTGACATTTATGAACAGCAAGGTGGTCACTGTTGGCAAAACACTAACAAATAAAATAAAAACATATTTAAAATAAAATTTTTATTCATTTAAAAAAATATCAAGATTAAGAATCTCATCTTAAAAAATGCAAAAAAAATACAAAAAAAAAAATGCAAATAAAATACAAACCAAGACAATTTTCAATTTTATAAATCTATTATATTATATTATATTAAAATTTATAAAAATTAGCATAATTCTTTAATGTTATTACAACCCTCTCACAAAACATTATCTAAACACAAAATAATTTTTATGAAAAAAGAGCAGATGTTTTAATTTTATCAAACAGCATAAAACTACATTTTAAAAATCAAGACCTTCATTTTATTATTATCTTATTACAGTTATTATTACACCTTCATTTCTTATTACCTCTTTCTCTTATCACAGTTAAGAAATCAGCTGTAGAGCAAGGAGATCAAAAAAATATTTATTATACATTACATATCTTTTTATCCAAGGATATGTAACGTATATTATAAGATAAATTATATATCTTTATCCTTGAAAGAAGAAATAAAATTAGAGGAATATCGAAGATCCTGAATCCAAATTACATAGGAGACATAATTTTCTTATGTTATTTTGCATATTACTAATATGCAAAATAACATAAAAAAAGAAAAGGCAACATAAATAAGTAGAATTGCAAGAGGTAATATTTGACAGAAATTAAATATCAAAGATTTAATTGTTAAAGATTATTAAAGATTTGACAGAAAATAATTTGAAAAAATTAATGTGAGGGGCTGGTCAACAGAAATTAAATAGTACTAGCATAAACCATAAAATACTGATTGCACCTTGTTTCAAGATTACATGGAACATAGTGATTTCACCGGTTATCCGTTTCAAAAACCGAATAACATTTCCCATCAATTTGCGGTTAACCGGCTATTCGGTAAATTAGTGACGCTTTCTGAATACAGGATCTTCTAAATTTCAAAGAACGTAGTGTTTTAAACTAATTTTTTAAAAATTAATGTTAAACTGTACATTTTTAAGACAGTTAGTGAATACAATCCTATATTATACATTTATAACAAAACATGGAAAAAGATATTTTTTATATTATAATATAATATACCTTTTTAATTATATAATTAAAAAAGGTAGAAATAATGTACAAGTATAGTTTAAATGTTTTAATATCAGCAGATGTTTTAAAACCATTCTCTCATATAAAAACATTTGATTTGGAAATATGAGATATTATGAAGTTAATTTTTTAAGCGTGTATTTTAAAAACTCATTGTTATGCGGACATAGATGGAAACACAGATAAACTTGAATGTTCTCAAAACAACTTGTTGCGGAAAGATAATATAAAGAATATTTGCTAACACTAAAATACTGCCAATTCTATGAATAAACAAATTCTATTGGTTCAAAAAATACGCTGGTAAGTGAATTAGAGTTTTAGAATATTTTGAAGAAACTTTTTTAAAAATGTATTGCTTGAGTTGCAAAAGTAATAAATAAGTCTTTGAGATTTCTATTGTAAATTGTTTTAAGAATATATTATCAAACAAAACTGATTAAATTAACATTTAAATTAATAAAAGAAATTTATTATAATCTTTGATAAATTAACATTTGTCAAACAATAATCGTCATAATTAAGTTGTTACTTTCTATAAAATTTCGTAAAATTTCTAAGTTGATTTTTATTGTTCGAAAATAGATAAATGATATTCGAACAAAATCCGGTTAACCGCAAAACTGGATAACCGGCAAAATCACTAATGGCACAGTGACTTGACAAGCAAAACATTTACAATTTTTAACATAACAGTGATTTTTTTCTTAGATAATGTGATTGTATTATTAAGATAAATTACAATACAACATATATTGTTGTTGCATTGGAAATTACAATAACATTTTTTTTAGATATGGTTACTGTATTATAAAAATGATTTACAATAATTGTTTTAAAACATTACAACAACATTTTTTAAAATATTGATATTGTGTTACAAAGATGAATTACAATGCAGTAGTTATTATTTTTGTATTGTAAATCATAGATATTGTTATTGTTTCTAAAAAATTAATACAATAACAAAAGCTATTGTAATTGTGATTACAATAACTATTGTGTATTTATAGTTGATATTCCTCTACAAGCTGACTTTTTCCTATCTTTTTCACATTAAGTTGAGGTTTCAAAATCACCAAAATTCTTGTTAAAAAAATCTCACCGATGTTGGAAGTTTCAAAAACATTTTTATCGACTGTGAAGAAATTTGTGCAATCACGTGCTGAATTTTTCAATAACCTGAAATTTCAAAATTTATAATGAAATTAAAATCATCTGTGGTAATGGTAGTGTTTAACTTATGACACGTTTTGACTTTTTAAGTACTAGCACGCTTGTTGATGCATCATTATTAATTTTTACTGGTTTCCTTTAAACTTAATCATTTCTTTTTTCTTGGCATTTATACTAATAAGTAAAGTCAATTATTTAAAGGTGATGAAGTAACTATTATAAAAATAAAAGCGCATATTAAAAAAAAATGCTTTCAGACAACAGCCACCTAGCTAAACAAGCATATGTCATATCACAAACTACTATGATGCCATATTGTAAACAGTAGTAGCTGCATCACTTTTGAGTTGCCTCCACATTAGAATGGACAATCAATACTGGTAGAAATAATAAACAGACAACTTAAACAACTTCAAACATCTACAACTTCTAAACTCCAGCCAGCCCAATATGTTCAGCAACCATTGATTGAATTCATGGATGAGGACATGGTCTACATTGACATTAAACAAGCTCTAATTATTTTATTTAGAATTTAAATTAAACTTTTTTTTTTTTTTCGTTTGTATTTTAATTACATTATTTAGAATATAAAAATGTTTGTTTTTGCTAGATTTTTGTTTTTTTTGTTAAATTATTTTATTTAAAATTTAAACAAAACATCTATTCTTCGTTTTTATTTTATGAATTTTATTTAGAATTTAAATAAAACGTTTATTTTGTTATTTTTATTTTAATTATTTTATATTGAATACAAAAAATTTATTTTAATTTTATTTAGAATTTAAATAAAACGTTTTTGTCGTTTTTATTTTAATTACTTGATTTATAATACAAAAAACGTTTGTTTTTCTGTTTTTTATTTTAATCAATTTTATTTAGAATTTAAATAAAATGTTTGTTTTGTCATTTTTATTTTAATGATTTTATTCAAAATTTAAAGTGAAGTGTTTGTTTTTTTGTCTTTTTATTTTATAAACTTTACTTAGAATTTAAATAAAACATTGGTTTTACATTTTTATTTAATAATTTTATTTAAACTTTAAATGAAGCATTTGTTTTGCCACTTGTAATTAATTTAAAATAACAAGTAAAATTAATTTTTAAAATTCTGAAGTCAACAAAAAATTGCCTACCTCTAACACTGTCAGGTCAGCAGTTAGGTCAACATTGCCAAATGCCGATTTTAATTTCAAGGGTTGTATTTATGTATATAGTTTACATAGATTAAATTTTATATTTTATTTTTCAAAAGTTTCAAAGATTGCCCATGTAATCTGACTTATTTGGGTGTGGAGGTGGACGCGGGCGATTGACTTCCATTTCTGCCAAGGTCTGTTGTAGTTAAGTTGTATTATGGCATTTATTCTGCCATTTATACATAATCATTAAAATAAAAAACCATCATATGATACTAGGTTGAATAAACTTTGCTAAAAATCCTAAACACAAGACAAAAAATCTAATAACAGTAAAAAGTCTGCATTAGCAGAGAACGTAGATAAAAAAGCAGTATGCATACTGGAGAGATCTGTTTAGCAAGTCCATTTTTTTTTTAAATTCAAATTCACTCTTAACAAGGCTTCAAACAATCACTATTAAGTTGGGAGTTATTAAAAACAAAGAGTAGAGTTAAAGAGCAAGGAAATGGTTGACAGAAGACTTAAAAAGTTGTAGGTTGAATGAGTCAGGAAAACATATAGATCAGAAAGAGTTTTAAAAACTTTGCAATCGATTGTATATATGATTTCCATGAATGATAATCCAAGAAGATAGAAAGAAGATGACTCAGTGAAAGGATAGCCATTCATTAATATAGGAGTGTCAACAGTGTTACAATACTTGTTTGCACTAAACAACTTAATTTTGTTGGAGTTAAAATTCACAAGGCACTGCAAGCCCCAATCTATTTCAAAAGTGAGATTAGATATAGGATCAATTGTCTGTTCTAAGCAAATAAAAAAAGAAAACTTTTTGTCAAGACAGACGTATAAATTTGAATCATCAGCAACTTTAGATGAAAGGTTGTCAGGAAGATCATAATGTATATTTCATAGAAAACAGGACCAAGGATAGAATCTTAAGGTACCCCAGAAGATACTGGAAATAAAGAAGAGTGTTGGCATTTGAATATAATAAAGCCGATAAAAAGAAATAATTTAATAATCTCAAAAAATTTTAATCTCAAAATTTTTCTCACAATATGAAGTACATACACAATATAAAGCAAGCAATGGAGAAGGCATACATTTAATTGAATGGAAAATGTAATGACATTCGTAATACCAGATTAAAAAAAAAAGGAAAACAAAGAAACAAAAATAAAAATAAAAGATTTAACAAAACTCAAAAACATTGTCTGAAATATTAAATTTGTTATTTTTGCAAAAACATGCACAATAAACCAAACTAGTAAAGTCAAATCAAAAAATCAAATAAATAAACTCAAAAAATATTCAACTTATTTTTCATTTTGTGTTCTTTCTGTGATCAAAATTATTTTGCAAAAGTATTCAGGTCAAGAAAAAAAAAATAAAAATACTTTGTATAAAGATCTAATAAAAAATGAATTATAAAATAAATTTTAAAATCTTAAAAAAAAGATTTTTAACTACAAAGAAATGATAAAGGAAATAAATAATACTTAATAGAAAATTTTTCAACCCAAACTCTCTTATTCCAATATTGCTCATTCATTATGAACACTTTTAACTTTTTTTTTTTTTATTTGTTAAATAGAGAATATTTTCAACATGATACAGCTTTTTACTGGTACAAAAAAAAAACACTTTATTAGGTTAATTTACTAACTTTAAATTTGATCAATAAATGGTCAAATTTAAAGTTATTAATAAATTACAAACTTTCAATAAGACTATCTACTGTAAAAAGGTTAGAGAAACATTTTAATTATGAATTGGAGTATGATATTAATGGGATCGATGAAATTAGATTAAGATGCAGCTTATGAAAATAATTTAAAAAGCGTACACCTCACAAACATGTTTTCTATGACCTGAAAGTAGGGAGTTCTGAGAACATTTTAATAACCACAAAAAATAAAATAAAAATTAATAGTGTTTTTAACTACAAAAAAGCAGTGCAAAGCATAATGAGGCCACTTGAATTTAAAAACAAAAAATACAAAATTCAGCGTTAATTTCTGTGCATGTTTTTTATAATAACCCAATTGGGTGCAGTTTACATAAAATAGACACAAAAGGCGCTGAATCTATGCAAAATGAGAGCATGCTTTCACTTATTTTATACACCCTTATTTGATTGCATTAGAGAAAAAAAAATGAGCTCAATAATTTGGATATTCCCATTATGCCACTTACTGTACAGCTGCAATATTTACAAATTGTTGAGTTAACTAAATTGAAATTTAAAAACAAATAATTAAATGTTAAAAAAGTTATAGTCATGATTTTTTACAACTAAAAATAAATTAAAATGTAGAAATATCCTATTGCAAAAATTAAAAAAATGAAAAAAAAAAACTTAATTATAAATAATTTAAATTTAAAAAAAAAATTATTTTAATTCTGTTCAAAATATGTTTTTTCAAAAAACAATCTGAAACTTAAGTTTATAGGGTCGTTTCCTCACTTACTGTGAGTCGACACTTATCGTAGGTTTTAAATACTAACATAAATTTTACAAAAAGTAGTTATTTTTTATTTATTTTTATATTTTGTTTATCAACAACATTGTCATGCACTTCTATTACAATACACAGAAACCACAATACTTAGTTACTTATATGAAATCAGTCGGTTTATTACCTCAGCCTATGAAAATACTTTTTTTTTAAGTAGCAGCTGTTAGAAGCGTTTCAAATAAAACAAGGGAATTTACGAAGACAACATAAAATTTTATTTCTAAATAGACTTAATCAGGTAAATAAAACATGAATCATTATTAATACTATTAAAGCCACTCATCATTATAGTATCTATGTAGTATTTTTGATAAGTATGAATTTAAAGAAATGTCATTCCATACATATCGTATGTCAAATGGATAATCAGTTTGTTTCTTTTTTTACTATAAAAATAAATATTATTTTACTTAGATTCTTTTACAATGGAAGACAAAAATATAAGACTAAAGTTTGTAGCTCAAAACAAAGACTTCAATATGCAGATAGTCAATTATGTGATGCTACTAATGCTGTTAAAAAAGGTACGGTTGTGTACAAAGCAAGCAAGACGTTTAGAATTCCTTATCAGATGCTTCGTGATAAAATATCTGAAAGAACTTCTTTGAAGATACAACACTGCGGGTATGAATCGGTACTAGGTAAGCAAATTGAAAACAATTTAGTCGAGTGGTTACTAACATGCACCAGAATGAGATCTACCATGTATGCAGTACAGCTATTAGATACTGTGCAAAAATATCTTGAAATTTATAAGAGATTGGTTTACTGAAATTCCGAAGCTTTTAGGAGAAAACGATTTTTATTTAAATGAAATGATGCACGTTTTCAATATGGGTGAGAGTGGTTTTCAGTTGTCACCGAAAACTAATTTATTAATTGGTGAACAAGAAAAAAATACATATGAAGAAAGAAAATACATCTGAAACTTAGCAGCAAATTCCGAAGACAAAAGTGCAAGAAAAGTCATAAATAAATGATGAAAAATTAAGAAAGAATCAATTAGCTGCAGATAAAAAGTCAAAAATAAAGGAAGAAAGATTAAGAAAGAAACAATTCGCTATTTAGAAAAAGTTATCAAAAGAAAAAACTAAAAAAGAAAGAGAAAACATGAGAAATTTGAAAAAAGAAAAAAAAAGTTGCAAAAGAAAAAGAAAGTCTTTAAACTGAGTCAGAAAACCAGTTCCATTTAAATGTTGATAATAATTATAAAATAAGACTCAGATAGTTATGATAAAACTCTACCCTTTCCAGTTTAAGAACTTAAAGGATATGTACTAAAATAATGGAAATGCTTTAAAATCTTTAGTTTTAATTTGTAATAATATTCTCATTACTATATAATTAATATTTATTAAATAGCCTTTTTTTTTTAAATTTATACACCTAAAAACGTTTAACAAAATGTTACTAATGCATTAAATTTTCATTTGAAACCGCGATCGCATTTTTAACCAGACATTAAAGCAGATTTTAAGATATACGATAAGTGTCGACAATATATACAATAAGTGTGAAACACTTATGATAAGTATGGAAAACTGCGCTTTAAAACTTGGATCAAAATAAGTACATTATTGATTTAAACTTCAGAGTGAGTAATCTAAGATATTAAACAATGTAATCTAAGAAATTATAATAACTTTTGTTAAACTCACGGTAAGTGTGGAAACGACCCTACTTAGATTTATATCTGTAAAAAAATAATTTGTCTTGTTAAACCAATTTTTTTTTTTTACTTTTTATTTTATTGCATAACAATTGAACAAAAAAATTGAATGAAAAAATAAAAACTCATTAAATGAAAAAACTAATTTTTGGAAAAACTTCAATTTTTATTCAGACATAAGATCAAGAAGCATCTAATCTAGAAAGAACACAGAATGAAAAATAAGTTGAATATTTTTTGAGTTTATTTATTTGATTTTTTGATTTGACTTTACTAGTTTGGCTTATTGTGCATGTTTTTGCAAAATAACAAATTTAATATTTCAGACAATAATTTTTTTGTCAAACCAATGTCTGTTCCAACTGTTTTTCTATTGCAAAAAAATATTCCAATAAACCCCGCCATTGGAGCTATCCAATGGTGGGGTTCATTGGAACATTTTTTTGCAACTCTCTAATCAAAGATTATTACTATATTAAACTACATAATTAATTTAATCAAAGATATTTTAAACTACATAACTAAATTTAATCTAAGATGTATTTATTATTAGTGAATGTTGTGTGTTTTAGTAAGTAGTGTCTTGGCAATAAAATTTGGATTTTAGCCATAAATTAAAAACAAATAAAAAAAAACTCCCAAAAACCTAGTCTTTCATATCATTGCATAAACAGACAACAAACTATCAAATTCTTTTTAAACAACTAAAATTAATAAGAAAATAAAAAAGTCTGTATAAACATATGAATTAATTCAATATAGTTTTGGTCAAAACCATGGCAACTATGTTAATGGAAAGAAAGCTATCCAAACAACTTTTAATTTTTTTTCAATACCCACATTAAAAGGAAGCTTTTTTTATTCTTTACCATACAAATCTTGATTTCTTAAGGTATTAAAATGGCCAGAGACCCTTTTAATGGTATTATTAAATACTTTACAGGGTTTTATGACATTTACATTATTAAAACAGATTTCTTTTTTAAAACTCATAACAAACTTACAAACAAACAAACAAAAATACCTGTGAACACTTTGTACATTTAAATGGTTTTTCCATTTTGAAGACATTCAATAAAAAATGAAACCAAATCTAAATTCAAGAAAATGAACCAAAATATAAACATCAATAACAATAAATTAAAAATAAAAATTTGTTTAATATTAATTGTAAAAATTATATATTCTACCAAAAAAAAACAGCTTTTTCTAAACTCTTTAAAGAGTAAATTATTATTCTATTTTATGCTTTACAAAAACTGCCAAAAATTATAATATACTACTTATAGAAAATAAAAACTTATTAGAGTTAAAAATGCTATATTGTTAGTAAAATGAATGATGAAGCTAATTAGATTCATGAATGAACTGATACTTAAACATGAATAAATTAATACTTTCTTTTATCTAAATTAAAAAATATATATAACATACAGGTATTTTTTATGCTGGAGTATTAGGAGCATTCCAAGAAAAACTGTACTCAACATGAACAACTGTGTAGCAACTTTGTTGCTGAGAGTTGAATATGGGTTAAACAAAAACTTTTTTAAAAACTAATATTACTTTCATAACAATTTATAATAAATAGCATTTACTACTAATAAAATATAAAATATTAATATTAACAACAACAAAAAAAAAGAAAAAGAAAATTTAAAAACTCCAAAAATCTTGGACTATTTGAAAAACAGCCCTAATTAAAAACATAAGCCACTTTTTTACAGAATACCTAAAATTTATTGTATATTATAGAAATATTAAGGTAGCAGTTGCAGGCTGCATTAATGTTAATAATAGCAGCCTGCTACTGGTGAGATAAGATCTAGTACAACATGTAACATGTGCTGCTGTCTTATAAAATAAGAATATCTTTTGGTTGATAAAACTTGTTGATAATCTTAAAAATGGTATATATATATATATATATATATATATATATATATATATATATATATATATATATATATATATATATATATATATATATATTATATATATATATATATATATATATATATATATATATATATATATATATATATATATATATATATATATATATATATATATATATGCATTTATTTATACACATATTTTTAATGTTACATTTTATCTTTTATTATTAAATAAAAACTTAAATATTCTTTTTTTTTATAGCTATGAAAAATTTTTTAAATAAACACTCTTGTGCTAGCTAAAGTTTTTTTTTTTAATATTTCTTTTATGGTTTTTTTTTTAAACATATTTTTTTTTGCTAAAAACCTCAAGATTTTTTAACTTTGATCTTCATATTTTTAAATAAATGCATATATATATATATATATATATATATATATATATATATATATATATATATATATATATATATATATATATATATATATATATATATATATAAATATGTATATATAAATCGTCTCTTAAGCTGTTTTTGATTGTCATCGAAATGTCAAAGCAATTAATTTATGCGGAAGTACATTAAATTTAATTGTTTTTTAAAAAATTTTTAAAAAACCGCAATTATAACGACTAGAAAGTTTTTTTTAATTAGTGGTGTTTTTGTTATTGATTTAATAAAAAACATTTTTTAAACATGCGTAAATGTTGCTACATCGACTATCTTATAGCCTGATTCGCAACGGAGTGCTGCTACATCGACTGACAAATAGCCTGACTCGCAACAGAGTGCTGCTACATCGACTGACAAATAGCCTGACTCGCAACTGAGTGCTGCTACATCGACTGACAAATAGCCTGACTCGCAAGGGAATGCTGCTACATCGACTGACAAATAGCCTGACTCGCAAAGGAGTGCTGCTACAACGACTGAAAAATAGCCTGACTCGCAAGAGAGTGCTGCTACATCGACTGAGGGTTTGGTTTGGCCAGGCAGTCTATCAATTAAAAAAAAAAATTTAATTTTTAAAACTTTTTCTGGTCTGGTTTATTAACGCGCTCTTTAAAACTACAGTTTATGGGAAATATTTTTTGATGCTACGCAAGAGACATGCAAGAGTATATATATATATATATATATATATATATATATATATATATATATATATATATATATATATATATATATATATATATATATATATATATTTAAATTTAATTGTTTTTCTGTAATAGCTTGGGGCTTGCAGTAACCTGTGAAACTCTAACTAAATGTTAACTTCTGATTCCATTTTCTACATCTACAAACTTCTTATTTGTCCATGTATGGCATGCTGTTATCATATTTGGACTAGTTCTTCTAATGATGTCTTTTCACTTGTAAATGAACTGATTCAATCTGCCAAGCTTGAGCCACTTTCTCATTGTTGTAAGGTTGCATTATTTTCTTTTTTTGCACAAATACTACCATGGTTGTTGCTCAAGAGAGCTATCATTGCTTGCTCCATTAACCAAAACCCAATCTTCCTTGAGTTGGCATTCAGCAAAGCTGCATCCTTTTACTGTCTCTCATTTCATGCTCTTAAAGCTTTTTTTTTATCTTTTTTTTCTTGAACATCAATGATTTGAAACTCTCTTTCTTATGTTCATGTTTTCTCGACTCATAGAACTTTTTTAAGCCTTCTGCTTTCTTTAATTAAATTCTTTATTTTCTGGTATATGGATAGATTCTGGTATATGGATAGGTTTCAGGTATATGGATAGATTTCTAGTATATAGATAGGATGATAAACATACATTGACAAAAATATAGAGATAGACATAAACAAATGTATAAAGTTTTAGGATTAAGATTAGTGTCAGGGATCAATCATAGACTAATGGGTTTTCCCATCCCTTATGTTTAAAATAGTTTTTTGTTGACAACAAAAAAAAAAAGCAAACAGAAGCTCTAGTTCATTTTAGTAAACTGCTTTGAAAAGAACTTTCGTTATCATAACAGTAGGATGACCATTGTCCCAGTTTTTACGTAGGAGAGTGCAGCGCCAAACTAATTAAAATTAGTTTAATGCTTCACGCTCCGTTGTAAAAACCAGGACAATGGTCACTCTACATAACAGTGATAATATTTAAACGTATGATACTATAATCAAGTGTTAAAAAATATGCCAAATATTCACATTCTTAAAATTTTGATATCAATTTAGAGTATCTTAGATCTTTATGTTTATATGAATCTTATAAAGCACAAAGATCTCTACCATAATTAGCCATCAAAAGATGGGTAGGAAACTAAAACAGTGTCATAAATTGGAGTTAATTGTTTTAATAATAATAAACAAAACAGATAAAAAAATTTGGCTTAGCTTCATATTATTTTGTAAATAATTTGTATTTTGACAGCCATAATTCACAATAAAATTCCAAGTTTGTAATATTTACTTTTTGTTAAATATTACCAATATTAGTATATTGTTTATATATATATATATATATATATATATATATATATATATATATATATATATATATATATATATATATATTTTATATATATATATATATATATATATATATATATATATATATATATATATATATAGCTTATTTCAATTATCTATTGTTTTTTTTTTTCTTAGAGTAACTTAAAAAAATATCAGTTAGTTGGTAGCTTCTGTTTTGTTTTAAACGATTACAACCAAGTAAACAAAACTGTTTTAAGCTTTAACTACCAAGCTTTAAAAAGCAAAACGACTGTTATAAAAAATTGAGGATAAAATACAGCATAAATCTTTTTCTGCTAAGTTTAGTTATTTAAAAATTTTTGATAAAATTTGGCTTCATGACTCATAACTTGAATTGGAACTAGATTAGTTCATGACATTTTTTTTTTTGAGAGAGAGAGATCTGATACTCGCGCAACCTTTTGAGCTAAAGTTAGCCATTGAATTTTTTTCATATTATAATTTGGAATTTGTGAAAACCACATGTTAGCTTTTTATAAACGAATTAGATCATAACGTATAAACAAACCTTAAAATGTAGAAATAATTTTCTTGAACCATTACCTCAACATTACGAAAACCTTCTCTTATAGATTATGACGACATAAAATGAGGTAACATTACGGAATGATACCGGTTTTAAACTTAAGAAAATCTCAAATTCAATGGTATAAAGTACTATACCGTAATTCGGAGATGTGAGGAAAGGAAGATTGTAAAAGAGGTACAAAAATAAATGAAAGTAAATAGTTTTATGATAATTTTTAAATGCCAATTAATTAACCTTTACTAAATCATTCTGGATATTTTATAAGTCATTTTTTATCGCTCTCTTTATAACCATTTATAACCGTACAATCATGCAACTTTTTCCGGTCGAAAATTTTATTAACTTGCTGGTTAAGTACACGGAAAAATTTAAATTGATAACATTTTTTTTTTTCCTCTTTTTATTTCATCTTCAGTATATTCGTATTACAAGTAAACATAAATTTATGTATATATTATATAAATAGTGTCTTCTAAGACCACAAGGTCTTATGCGAGAACCCCTAGAACGTTATCATCAAGACTTCTCATCGAGTACCACTAGAACGTTTTCATCAAGACTTCTCATCGCCGCTAGAACGTTAATTGAAAATAAAATAGCAAAATAAAAACATTAATAAGCTTAACAAAATAAAAATATCAAACAGTGGTAAAATATATATTATATGATTTTTTTTTTTTTTTTTGTAAATGAAATATTTAAATATTTTAAGAAGCGATTAAAAAACAAATTTGTTTACTTTTAATAATAGTTCACCGCCAAAAGGCCATGAAGGCTACTGCAGTTGAGTAGGCGACTTAAATTGTGGTTACAACTTTCTCTCAACTTTATCTTAGATCGATAGGCGGAGAAACAAGTTCAGTGCGTTTCCATCAGGCAGGAACATGGTGAAAGGTCAAATTCGGAACGAAATTATCGCTTAAGAGGCGAGCGCTCTACCACTACACCGCTACCGAATTAATAAATTATAAAGAAATCCAATACATTTACCAATTTTATTGCATAAGTTGTCAATGTTGTATTTCCTCGAAAGATTTTCATCTATAATAACACTTAAAAAAATTTGTATACATGACTCTTTTTATA